AAATTTAGTTTTACAGTACTGGCCAAATAAGGAATTGTTATCAATTTACAATTAGATCAAAACAATTTGATTTTCACTGAATTATGAATTTACTGTACTAAATAATTAATTTGATTAGATTGCCAGTCAAGCTAGGCCAAATAAAAATAATCGCTAGTTCCACGTCCGCAAATTTTGGAGCCTTGTGAAAGAATTTACTATTCGCTATTTTTAAAAAGAGCAATCATTATCATTATCATTCATCATTATTATGAAAATAATGATGATCTGAAAGATTGTTGTCAAAGCCTAAGAAGTGGAAACCTAAATGGCAGAATAAATTTGGGTTTACTATATATTTTAATTGCCAATCACCTAAAAAAGGGGACTGCAAGCAGCTCTATATAGGTCACATAATTAATAATGAGCACCATTCAAATTGAATTGATTAATTAAAAGCAGGGAAGCAATCCCAGAGAGTGAATTAAGGCAAACATTTTTGTTAAATCTAATTATCCTTACTAATACTATACTGTATGAAAATAATATACCATGTAAATGTAAAACTACAGTTCTCCAGTTATAACAAATCATTTGTAATTGGATAGTCTAGTAGGCATAATGGCCATAGTACATACCCTGTAGTAACCAACAGGTGTCTTTATGCGTAATTAAATTTAATTTATTCATCAAAATTCAAAGAAATACTGTAAAATAGCTCTCCATGAAAACTAAGAATGAAGGCAATCCAATGCAAATCAAATTTTTTACCAACAGTACAGCACATAAAAAGAAAATACAGCCTAATGCAAGGGGAACCTAAACTGTAACCTACCTAACCAAGCATGTACAAACTAAGTACCAAGAAAGAAAGCAAACAAATCAATGAACAAGGTTAAACTGGGGTGGGAAAAATGGTGTAATGGATTGTCATTTAGTGACGAACCCAGAACTTGTTCACCGAGATGGCATGAGTGGCAACCATTCAAGGATCTGCTATGGTCTGAAGTGGGCAAAACACATTGTTGAGAGAAAATATTTTGGACATTTTTTTATTTCTGGTTTTAAAATGTCTTGAAAAGTCTTGGCTTTGAAAAGTTTGAGTGTCAAAACGGCTGGTTTTCAAAACGTCCGGATTTTGACTACTCAACCATGAGAAAGTATCTTCGGGTTCACAAAATGTCTGGGTTGATAAATTTTTATCACCCAGTTTAGATTGTTAAAAAGTGCACTATAATTCAAATGTAATTTTGTAGTGGAGAACATTTAAAAAAAAAAATTGTATTCTTCTTTTCCATAGCAGCTCTATTGACTGTGTCCCACACACACACGCGGCCTATCCTTCATCATTTCCGTAGGCCTATCTATTTTCTAACAAAATGCATTACTGTATGTGGAATCATTATGACCTCTGCCAAGGAGGTTATGTATTTACTGCTGTAAGTCTGTCTGTTAGTAACATTATGCAAAACCTAATGAATGGGTCATCATAAAAATTAGAGGAATAGTTCACAAAATATTTGAAGGAAGACACCATTCAATTTTGGACAAAAATGGAAAGGACAATGTCAAGGTCACAGAAATTCAATTTGTTTACCCTAAGCACATAATTAAAAGAAAATAATGGAATGGCCCCATCATACATGGAATGACTACTGTTCAGTATTAAGGCACAGGGTGGCGGTATGCACTATATGAATTGACTGCTCTAGTTTAATATTAAGTTATATTATTTATTTTTTTAATTTATTCTTTATTGATCTTCCAGTAGCAGCCAAAAGGCTGAATTTACAAATTACTGTACATTTACGTTAAAAAATTACAGAGCTATTAAAAAACATTAAAACTGGAAAACATTAAAAATAAATTTGTAGGTAAGAAATACATATATTATTATAAAGAATTAAATTGTTATATTCATAATTGATAATTGATATATATTATATCAATTCATTAGTTTAAATAAATTTAAAATTAAATGTCACATTTTACACAACTGCTGAAAGAAGCCTTGTACAATATGTATATTGCGAGCACAGTCTGAAACAAGCTTGAAGCAACAATTGTGTTGTGGATCAAAACAAAATGATGAAAAAGCTATAAAAAAAAAACTGTGTGCAACAACAGACACAAGACATTCATTAGTTAGCCTATGATGAGTATGATAACTTACAATTACACTAGGCCTAGCCAAGTTAGGGGTCTAATTAGGGCCTAGCTAAGTTATCCCCACACCCCCACCCCATAGCTAGCTTAGCCTAGGGTAGACCTAGTAGTGGCCTAGAGAGTAGGCCTTATCCTCTCCTACTTATCCTTACCTACCTAGGCCTATATGCCCGCCGGGGAATAACTCCCTGGTGCCATTGGTAGCCCAGATTTAGTCAGGCAAGCTTGGGCCTAGGCTGAATAATATGGTTAGGCTATTAAAAAGATACGTACCTCCAATTATTTCAGCCCGATCGTCATTTTTTGGAGAATTTTCCATGCCGGAAACTTTGGGTTTTACCGTATTTGACATGTAAAAGGACCAACACACAGAACTAGACAACCAAGCGAACTTTGTTTGAATGCCCTCCTTTCCCTTTTCACACAACGTCCTTTCGTCACTGGACCAATATGGAACGCTAAAAGGGCAAACTTTATTTTTCCAAAGCTGATGTTATATGGGAGGGGGAAGGGAGACATCAATATGGGGTGGGGACTTGAAAATTCAAAAATGTTTTAAGTAACTAGATCAAATAAGTTACAACTTAAATACAAAATAAAACACAGATCTATATAATTAATTTTCTCTTATTTACAGACATTTTATACAAAAATCGTTAGATTACCAGCAGTTTATACAAATATAGGTGAAAGTTTATAGTTATATCCGGTGGTGAGAATTCAGTATTCAATATAATTTATTGTTATTTGTAAAATTCATTTTACATAGAAATAAAATTTCAAGAGTCCACTCATCAATAAATAACAGAATTGTTTGGCCTTCATATTACTTTTCAATTGAAAATAATAATCTATTTAAATAGGCCTATATAAAGTGTAATGTGCATCGTAGCTAGATCAGGCTCATAGGTCTATGCATTTTTGAGGTGCAGAGAATTTTAGTCCGGAAGCTAGAAATTGGTTCTTTGTAGCCAAACAATCATTTCGTTCTTTTCATTATGGAGGTAACTGACGGCATTTTATTATAAATGTATATTGTATTCTAGCCTATTTCATTTTATTATTGTATTGGTAATGACTGTATTTGTACATTGTGGCAATCACCACCGTCACAGAGAGAGTTGCCTTAGTGTTGTTTCTGAGTACAGTACTTCTATTTGGTCTTATTAAATACTGTACTATGTCAATGGAAATACCCACCACAAAACAATTTAATTAGACCAAATACATGGCACTACAGGATCATTGCATGAACTCAAAGAAATGTTTTACCCTGGTTTTACTTCCTCGTTTTATTTAATTCGATATGTCGACCTATGGTGTTTAATAGGGAAGCTGGAAGGAACATCAACAAAATGAGACACCGGTTCGAATTAGACGTACTTCTAATAATGTTTCATAAAGCTTGGATAATTAGATATAGTAGCAAAACGTTCTATAGTTTTCTATGAGCCCTGCTCGTACACCTCAATGGAATTTTTTTTTGCCCGGAGCCAAACCCCTGTATGTACCCTTTGCACACGGTCAACAAACGGCCCAACAAGGTGATTATGTTATTCATTCACTTAACAATAAGTTGGGTCTTCTTACAAAATCTTATTTTGTTGCCAATAATGAAGCTGTCACGCCAAGTGCCATACCTGACTGCTAGACCAGGAAGCATATTAGTATATCACTGATTCAATCCAGCCAGACAAAATGTCACTGACTGTAGGCTACGCCACACACACAAACTACTGTTGGTATCACAGATTCATCCAGACAGATCACTTACCCAATGCCGTAGCCAGAATTTCAAGCAGTGCGGGACAATATCAGTGGACCCACTTTACGCATATAAATTAATTGTATAAAATGTGGACCCATTTTCTTAAAAGTTGACCAATTTTACGCAAAAACATGAAAATCTGGACCCATTTTCTTAAAATTGTACCCATTTTAAGATAAATATGAGAAATCTGGACCCATTTTTCAATAAAGCGGTCTCATTTTATACATAAAATTGCATAATTTGAACCCATTTTTCAAAATGTAGACCCATCTTTGTGGACCCATTAGATAATTGTGTGGGACTGATTCGGGACTGTCCCAACTGTCCCAGTAGCTGGCTACGGCACCACCACCCCTTCCCATCTCAGTGACAATTTTAACATAGTGTAGTGGAGGATATTTTAAAAACGACGCGTGGTTGTGAATGCAAAAATACTACTGAAAAGTTTAATTATTCATATAATATTTGACTCGCTTTATAAAATGTTTAAAATTTATCAATTAATAATTCGACATACTGGAACCGAACGTGACAAGACAACGTGTCAGACAGGCGATTTGAATGCATTATGTTTCTCAGCGTTTTGTTCCAGATTAAAAATATATCAATAAACAAATTAATTACAGATAAATACAATAGGCCAGATTCGTAAATTAATCAATTCTACATCATGATATATTAAGCCATTGTGATTTTTGGAGTTCGTAGCTTACGAAACGGCCAAGGTTAAACAATAACCTTGAAGTTTGAAAACAGTTAATGCCCACACGTCACGGTTTTCGTCATTAACTAGGCCTAACTACTACTACCGTATAAAAACCAACTATCTGAGTAAACTCGATCATTTTGGTTTCAACGACTCTTGCAAGACTTATTTCTGGTAAGCAAAATTACAAATTCTAAAATAGCACAGTCCACCCTCATCGAACCTCCAGTTTAACTTCCTACATGGACATCTTTGGAGGATCCAGTTGTTGCTGCAGTACAAATAAAATGTAACTTTCATTTTCGGCGTTATTGCCGCAACCAATTTAGCACTGTTGGCGTACCATATAGACAAAATAACTTTGTTATTGGTCGTTAGGATTTTCGACAACCAATGAAATCGCTCAATTTCGCGTCACATTTAAAAAGATGGGACGTAAACAAAAAGCCGAGTCAATTCACGGAGCGAAGGTTTGCAGACTGTGGAGGTCAACTAAATTTATTCTTCTTGTAAGTAGCCCGAAGTATGATTATAATATTTTACTTCTTTGTAATATCAATTATAGTTATATATATTGAGTACCATGTTTAAAACTTCATTAACCGAACTATATAGTGAATATACACGAAAGTACGTAGCTCAACTCACCTCGGCCTGGCTAGGCCTAGGCCTAGAAAAGTAGTAGGCCCAGGCTAGGCTAGGCCTAGCTAGTGTAGCGGTGGTGATCACTGGTGTTATATTCCTACCTAGGCCTAGGCCTATAATTCTAGTTTAAGCCACTAAATACGCATGTCTTCACACAAAAGTCTGGACCTATCTAGGCTAGGCCCTAGGCGTAGTGAGTGCAAACACAACACGAATAAAACATATAGCTGCGCATCTAAATATATAATTTGCAACCAGTTGCAGCCACAGCGTTACCTGCACATGATAGCCTAGTCTAGTTGACGGTGGTTGTGCAGTAGCTGACAGATGCAGATACAGATAATAATGACATTTTGGACCTTGATTGAGTCTTTCTTAGCCATTAAGAAAAATACTTTACACAGGTTTATAATCTTCTATAGAAAAATTAAGTTTGTTTTTATGATGATTTAATATTTTATATATGTTAATGTGAATCCCTATTCTTTCACATTAATACCAATTTTCTTAATTATTTCTAAATGTTTATATTTAATATAGTTTACTAAAATTTTATAAATGATTGATTTTTTACGTATGATGATTTTTATTTTTAAATGTTAAAATAAAGATATTTGAACAATAATCGCCTAATTGTTCCCATAACTTAATTTTCAATTCCTCATTACTCAAGCTTCATCCCAAAAACTCAATTAAATTTACAAAAACACCAATATTTGCTCATCACATAATGCAAGTTATAGCTTATTGACAGCATTAAAAAAAAATCATGTATTTATGCTGCATTACCTTTTGAAAAATTTAAGCAAGATTTTACTCAGGGCCACAAAGTGCTGGAGAACAGATTTGGTGATACTAGTTCCTTTGCTGTTTTTTTTCTAGCGTCTCCTGTTTTAAAATATTGTTTTGGTGTAGATTTTGTGTTTTTACGTTAACAGCAGACTATTGCACAGGCCAGCAGGAAAGGCAATCAAAGAATACTTAACAATAGATATTGAAAAAAGAATTAGACCTAATATGATACATTTTTATTCCAGTTTATTTGTTTTGAAAATGACAATTGAGAGAGGGGCAGGAAACGCATCACCTCCGCTACACGTTCATGTAGATAAGACTACACCAGTTCATGTACATGTCAAAAAGACAGGAAAGAAGTCAGCTACAGCAACAGCTGTTGAAGTAACGTTTTTTCTTTTTGAATTTTAATGAATTTATTTGTGTCTTGAGTCTATTGAATTATTCATTATAAAAATTTTGTTATGAATTCTACTTTTTAAATTCAATGAGTTTGGTTAGTTTAAGAATATCTTAAATTATTATTTGCATTTTATCAATAATATCAACATATATATTAACAGTTGTTTGAGATATATAGACATGGTTATTTATGGCAGTTCCATATTTCACACCTCATTTTAAGTGAACAAATTATATAATTTAATTTTTGGACTTATCAAGAATATGAACAAATTCTGTTAAAAGTTTTAAATGTTTGACCTACTTTTGCATTTGTTTACATTTTGACTTCAAATAAGCTGTTAATTCTTTTATCAATGGATTGTTGTAGGATCGTCTGCATTCTACTAAATCACGTCTAGGCAAGTACACTTCAGGAAATGTAAGGACATCAACGAAGGGGCCATGGGTACCTGCCCCCGGCAGGAGTACCAAAGCAAAACCAATGTTTTGGGAGGTAAGGCATGAAGAGGATACTTTCTATACCACCAGGACACTTTACTAAGGATGCAACCATATGTGGCAAAGATAAGCCAAACCAGTCACTCGTCGCAAAAATCAATTTTGAGTTATTAATATAGGGTTAGAGAGTAGAATAAGAGCTATACAATGGTAAAAAAAGCATTCAAATCCGACATTTCCTTATGAAGTTACAAGCATCTAAGCATACAGCTGTTTAAAGAACAATATATGAGAAATCAGTCTTCAAAGTTTATGATTTCAGGCATTTCCCATGTAGAAACTATCATAAAATCATTAAAAAGTGTTGTTTTAACATTGAAATTGGGAAAAATTACAGCACAGCATGATGTATAGATACATAAACCTTAGTTTAGTGAAATAAAATAAATTAAAAAAAATTTTACATTCTAGCATGTTTTTGCTATTTTCTCTGAAACACAATTTGCGACGAGTGACTGGTTTGGCTTGTCTTTGCCACATATAGAGATATTAGAGAGCTTTCCTTATCTCATTTTTTGTGTATGACCTCACTAGTTTAGGCCTGGTTTTAGTGTTCTCGGACTCGCAACCCAAGATCAGCTGCTGGATCCCAGGTGATAAATCAAGAACCAGAAACTGAATGTATTTGCAACATTTCAATGAAATTTTATTATATTGTATATATACTACCTTGAGAAAATCATCATACCAGTAATTAATACTGATTGCAAATTCACTCGAAATTTTACATAATCAGTGTATTTCGTCCTAGGCTGGACCATTCAATTAGCCACGGCTTAAGCATGTGCCGCGGCCGTAGCAACAAGCTTTGCAGCCACCAGTGGTTTGGTTCTAGGAGGAATGCAAGACGGGATAGCGAAAGCTCACTAATTTTTTAACAAGACCAAGAAATTTTCTTGGCGGATTGGTTCTCGAATAAGATAGCGAAAGCTCTATGTTAGTGTACATAGAAGTTATCTATGACGCTAAATCTGCATTCACATTGAATCCAGACCGTAATTTGCATGCCAGCCTCCCTATTCTTAAACACTGATTCAATTTTCTTATTGGTTTGTTAAGCCTTCCTATCAGAAAATTTGCATTTGGTGTGAATGTACCTTTAGTGTGCCCTTTAAGCAGGTGCGGATCCAATGAGGAGGCACGCCCACCCTGTTTTGCCACAGAAGTTTTTAATTTCAATGCATATCAATGTTATGTATTGAAATAAGAAAAAAGAATACAATACAAAATGTTTAAATATTTTGTAATACTGTATGTAGGCCTAACAATACCATTTATTGGCATATCCAAGAGGGTGCTCAAAGTGACTGAGACCTCCATTCAGAGGTTAAAAAAAAATAAATAAATGAAGTTATTGATTGGCAAGAATGGTACAGTTTCACTGTTCAGACAGCATAACACTACTGATGATGTCTTATTAGAAAACTAGTGTAGGTGATATTTTCGTTCCTATGGACTATCAATACACGGGCGGGCGGACCTCTGATCTCTACCATAAAAATAATTATTATTATAGAGATCAGTGAGGTGGATGGTGCATATTTAATACAATCAATTTTCTTTTTTACCCCCAAGCGCAAAAAATCCTGCACATACAATTAATTCGGTACCACTATTTCGGTACACTGTTCACCATACAGATTGCAGATTAAAATTTATCAACTATGAGAGTGCTATTTCTGGCCATCTAGAGGTGCCGCAATCATAAATTTTCTTACCTCAGCCCCAACCATGGTGGGGCTGAAGTGGCATAGATCTTCTATCTGTGAAATTTCCTCCCTGAGCCCCCTCTATTTCCAATTTTTGGATCACCACTATATAATTTTTGTGTTTGTTTTAGGGAAATATTAATGATTACCAGTATCACTTGTTGTTGTATTAATTATTTAGTGATAGTGGTGATGATAATATTGATAGTCATAACAATAATAAGCATATATTGGTGTCATATTTTGTTGAAATTACCTCTATCAAAGTACTAACATGAGTAAAAATGCATTCAAATATGTCCTTACTGGGAACCCTACATTGCTACAGCACAACCTACTAGTATTTTGACAATGTTGTGCCCCCTCCCCTGTTTGGAAAAATCTGGATCCACTCTTGTTAAGCCTTGTTATAAAGCTGATGAAGCCATAATTGAAATTTGTGTCAATATACATAAATTGAACTCAGGATTCCTGGATTGGTAGGCAAGCACCCATCAAAGTACAGCTCCTTTTCTTGCAGAAATTACAGATTCAAATTTAATTGTAAAATATTAAAACATATTTAAAAAATGTCTTAGTAAGATATACTCAATAAAATACATATTTATAATAAATACAGTTTAGAACACACAATATTAAATATGCACAGACCTATCTAAGAAATTCCTTATTACTGTATATAGATGGTCCTATTGCACTTCCTTAGTCTTACCCATTTATGTATAATCCTGCCTGGTCTATGGTCTGTAACTGATACTGCCATTTAGCAAATGGGGTTTATTGACAATATTATTGAGTAAAGTTTAATATGGCAGCCTTATAGCTGTGAAATTTCCTTGACATTAGTGCCAAGGATGGCATTACCTTTCAATTATGTATGATGTGTTAAAATCATACAATTTTAAACTGAAACATGAACATTTATATATTTGTAAACAAAAACTATACATTTATGTTAATATTATGTAATATGCTATTGGTTAACAATTTTAGAAATGGAAGTGTAAATAGGTTCATAAATGTTAGCAATACCAACTTAGAAAAAAAATCCAATTATAGTATAGACTACTTTTGGGACCGGGGTTTTCATGGTCTTTAGCAGCTTTGGTGTTGCTGAATATTGAAGATAAAAGACAGACATTCATTGGGGGGTCTTACCTCTTTATTTAGAGGTGGTCTTTAATTGAGGGGAGACCTGTATTGTACAAAATTGAAAAATTTGTTCACCAAGCCTCTGACACTGCAAAAATTGATTGCAATGCAAAAATTCTTTTCGGACTCGATTTAAATGGTGTCGCAAAACAAATGACAGTCGGGATCGTTTTTGTGTAGAAACTTGAAATTTGTATCTTGACTTTCTTATGTTTCTGACCACTGAATGAATTCACAAATTAAGATCTAAGGCTACTATAAAAGAAGAAATGCATTGATACCATGTTCTCTCGGCTTCACCTGAAGTACAGTACTGCTTGTTTTATTGATTATTCCATATACTTCTGTTACTCCAATTACATACAGTACCAAGGTAGGTTTGAAAACTAAATCTGTGCCTGTTTTTCACATACCTTGTATTATTCTTTATAGAGTGGGAGTCATCGGTTAGAACTAGGTCCACCTGAACAAGATACAGTTTACTCAACTCTGCGTGTGGAAGACTTGGACTCCGACACGGATGATGATAAGTATAGGCTGTATGAGAAAAAGATAGACAGCCTGATGACAGAGGTTGGCCAGCTGAAAACAGAGGTGAAAATCTTGTATAGTTACTGACCTTTCAGAATGCCAATTGGCCAATCAGAACAGGACAAGGAACATGCGCTTGTTCCGCGCATACACATTAATGTTGTCCTACAGATGCGCATGTTAACATATGTTTAGTTTTGTGGGACCTTAGCCTGTCTCTTATACACATCTCTAGTATTTTGACAATGTTGTGCCCCCTCCCCTGTTTGGAAAAATCTGGATCCACTCTTGTTAAGCCTTGTTATAAAGCTGATGAAGCCATAATTGAAATTTGTGTCAATGTACATAAATTGAACTCAGGATTCCTGGATTGGTAGGCAAGCACCCATCAAAGTACAGCTCCTTTTCTTGCAGAAATTACAGATTCAACTTTAATTGTAAAATATTAAAACATATTTAAAAAATGTCTTAGTAAGATATACTCAATAAAATACATATTTATAATAAATACAGTTTAGAACACACAATATTAAATATGCACAGACCTATCTAAGAAATTCCTTATTACCTGTAGCTTTATTGCAGTAGTAAATTCGCATGTTACAGACGATCCGCACAAAAAGATGAATATAATTTTTATAATCTAAAATTTGTATGTCGCGTATATGACGACCCCCCTGTTTTTTTATTCTAAGTTGCTATCTTCAGCCTTGTCTTATACACGGGTATATATGGCAATAATGCAATGTCCAAGGGGCGTGGCTTAACAGAGAGATCCATTTACCATTAAGATAAAAAATTATGGATTTATTGCACATCTAAAAATAGGCCATATGTGTGCTTTGATGCCATTGAGTTCATTAGACTTGAAAATGTTGTCTCATGCATGACCAGAGGTGTTCCCCAGGAGCAGAGAAGGTGGTAAAATTTTTATTAAGTTAGACTCAAATTAGAACGAGCAATTTGTTTTTTGCCATATAACATCTCTTAAATTGGCTGGTAATTTTTATTACTGTACTGGTCTGTCTAATTGGATTGATAACTTAATTGATGTCTTTAAATATTAGCAATTCGATTGGGATTTTTTTGATGTGTTCTATACTACAATCAGTGTATTTTATACCAATGCTTACTACTGTAGAATATGCTCAATACATTGACACAACTAACACTTCAAGTTATCATGATCAATGCCTTGTAACTTTTTAAACCAGTGCATAGGTAAATATTATTATCATAAGCCTTTGCTCTGTGGCTATAAACAAACACATATCTTTACCAATCTTCCATGGCATTGCTCTAAACCAACATGGGTAAATACCATTACTATAATCTGTGCCTTTAAATCAACACTTGTAGATATTACATATAGAGACCTAGAGTATTCTGCAACTGTAAATATAATTATTAATCATTACAAATGCCTTAGCACTGTTGGCTTTAAATGCAGCACATTCAGTAGGTTCATATTATAATAACCAAATAGTACAACACATAGGTATCTAAGAAAGTATAATACATACTCCAAGTATTGAAATACATGCCATCGTGTTGGGATTCAATATTTCGACATTAATTATGTCATCATCACCTTATACTTTCTTATCTGAGATTAATCAGTGGACCTTTCGACATAGGTATCTATCATTACTAATTGCGTAGCACATTTAGTAGTTCAATGTAATAACAAATCTGTTTCTATGACATTACACCAACAGATAGAGGTATTATTAATGTGTAGATATTATGACTAGTGTCAAAGCAATGTTGCTTCATCCCAACACATAGGTAGATCAATATGATTACCATTGACACTGTGAGCAATTACCAATGCCTTGGCATTGTTACAGTACTTTAAAACCAATGCTTATTACATTAACGAAATGTCATGATCAATACCATTCTGTTCATGAATATAAAGCAATACCAATGATATGTAGATGTAATCTTTTAATATTACTTTAAGAAATGTATATGATCCATCTATAAGTTATTTTTTGTGGTTAATAATTGGTGGTTTAGGATGGCTGTCCTTGAAAAGTGTATCATTAGAACTTGTTCATGATTATAACTGAGTTACCGTATTGCTTGTGAACATGGAGGGGATGATAGATATCTGTCAACATGCTTTAAATATATTCCATAAGATTTATTGTCCTTTTTCATTTTCTGTTGAAAACAAATTCTCTTATGTGTTCCTAGCTAGACTTCTAGCATTACTGTATCTGCACTGCTATTTTTTCATTATCAGTACACTTTGTTTTGCATGACTAGAAAATGATGTGAGTTATGGTAATACAGTAATACTAAATTTAATAAGTAAATCAATCAATCAATCATCTTATCTATCGTGATAAAAATATGCTATCTAAACTTAAATACTAATCACATTGAGTCTATGCATAACAACTATTCATATTCCAATTTACTGTCATGCAAACATTGCAAGAATTCATGAAAATCGGCAAAGAATAATATCACCCTTGATTAATTATGAATAATGCGAATGACTAGTGAAAAAATCAATGAAGCAGTCCGAAAAATAAGTTATTGATATTGGCAGAGAACAATAGCTCATTTAATATATTATTCATGTATGAAAGGCAGTGTGGGAAAAACCAATAACCACTATTGGGAGTAAATTGATTGAGTGGATCGCCAGTAGTGGGCATTTAATTATTCTGAAATAAAAGCTTCTTCATAAGAATTATAATCTGTGCCATCACCATACATACAGAATTTGCTGTTTGTGGCAGTGTACAGCTTTTTTACTTTCTTTTTTTAAATGTTAGTTTAGTTGGATTGGCTTATGACTTGAGAAACACTGTGAGTACATATTTGGGTGGCAATTTTTGCTCCATAAATTGCTGACAGTCTGTTTGGTAATAGTTTTTTAGTTCATTGGTTACTCTTTGATTTTGTCATTCTGTTTGGTAGTCCTTTGATATGGATTTAGAAAGTATTTAATCTTAGAGATAACCTTTGGGTGGTGTCATAAGGTTTGCTTTGGCTGTGGATATACAAAAGTATTTTATAGATATTCAATTATTGTTGTTACAATACTGTCAATTGGTTATGTCATAATGACACTTTTTCCTCAGGATGTCTTCTTAACAGCTGGTTACTACATTTAAAATATGTTCTGAAGGTTTTAGTAAGATATTTTTGGCACTGTTTAAGCACATTTGGAATCAATAGATGCTTCAATACCATATGTGAGGTCTCACTACAAAATGAGTCTCATCGTTAGAAAATATAAAAATGAGTTAATATTACATTTTGGTAGATAACATTATAAGCTTTAATTTGGTCTTTGAATGGCTTCCCTAGGATAAATAGATTTAGAGATGTTAGCATTTAAAGTTGTGTATGAGAACCAGGTTTGAGAAAATTGGCCTCAAAGATAAACTAACCTGTAAAAATAATAGGACTAGAATTACAAAATATGAGAAGAGAACACTGTTTTATTAAAAAAATTCACTTAAAAAGTACACAATCATAAAATATAAGTATCAAGTTATTCAAAAACATTAAAATCAAAATTTTGTATAAATGTTGCCTTTGACCTATTTTGGTGAATATCTCAATATGATTTCACCAACGATGCGTCTCATTTCATGGTGAGACCTCACATATAACCTGATACATATCTGTATTGATGAAAATACTTTTGATAATTTTTCCTCGTTTTTAAAATTTATGTTTCTGCTGTCTTTGATTATATTCCTGAATTTATGCACATTTTTTCAGAAGCAATGAAGTGAATTTGTTTTTGTATTTATTACTGTGTAATTACAAATTTTGGTTTTGCAGCGTCAACTAGAGAAGACAAAACGTGAAGCTTCCCGAGCGAGGGAGGAGTTGATGCTATCAAAGAAACTGATAGAGGATCAAGAGGAAGAGATCTTGGACTACAAGCAAGAGCTGCACACTTCGGAGCGACAGAGCAAAACATTACAAAATGCAGTGGAGAGAATGGAAGATGAAATAAACCTATCAAGGTAGGTTCTTAAGCTCTGTCTACACTATAACATGCTGATAAATGGAAAAATCCCAGATTAAATATGTTAAGACTTTTATATTATTCATTCTGCCTTTTAAAAAATGGTTAAATGTTTGTTGTTGTGTATGCTGAAATAGGACAGAAAAGGATTTTGTGAGATCAGAGCGTGACCGTTTGATGAAGCAACTTGTTGAGGTTGAGATGGATGCAGGAGCTGCTGTTAAACAGTTGAATGAACTCAGGAAGACAGTTCACAGGCTCAAAGAGGTATAGTTTTTAGATAATCTAATTTTTTTTTAATTTCTAATCAGTATTTTCTAAAATAAAATAAAGTCACTTCAACATATCCTTTTAAACACTGTAGTGCAGTCAAAATTAACAAAATTGTTGGACTACTGAGGAAAATGTTATTTATTAAGATTATTAACAATCGTCTATAATGCATGTTGTAAAAAACATAAGTGAAGTCAAAATAGCTATATGAAGAATTGCAAAAACTAAACAAAGACAATGATCAATGGTCATCTGCTGAGGTGTAACAGTTATGAAAAATCAATTACTTACAGTTTGGTAAAATTACATTTTGTTTTTCAATTGAATTTTACTTCTAGACTATTTATTGTTATGAAAATAAAATTACTAAACAGTTACAGTATAATACATGGACACTGCCAAACAATATTGATACCAACTGCTTTTATTTATAAAGGAGAAAAGAATGTCATCACATGACGGAAAAGTTTTGACAAAACAGCGGGATCTTTTGCTAGACAAGCTCAAAGATTTTGAGAACACCAACAGAGTCTTAAGGAAGATGTTGCGAGACCATCACAGAAAAGAGGTATACTGGCATTTTACTCATAACAATAAGTTTATTAATTCAATGGTTATTGCTAAAATAAATTAATTTGTCTCAGTAATGTTTATTTTGTGTGCATTTATAATTATCATTATTATTAGTGGTGTAAATAAATGTGGTGAAATTTTAAATAAAAATGATAATTATTGAATTGCGGACGATTGGATGTTAAATTTTTCAACAGGCCTCAAGTGAGCAGGATGACGTGCAGAGGGATTTATTACTCAAGAAGCTGACGGAATCAGATACCATCAACCAGCGGCTACGTCTATCAATACTAGACAAAGATAGTGAAATAGAATCCTTGAAAGCAATGCTGGATGCAGAAAGAGGACAAACCAACACAATGCAGGATCTTCAGTCTTCTCTAGAATCCACCAGAGCTCATCTGCAAAACCAGCTGCGGAAGAGAGAAGCTGACTGCAATCGGATGGCAGTCCAGATAAGGAACATTGAGAACCAGCTAGAGCAGGAGAAACTAGAAGTAGACCATTTGCAGGGACTGCTAAGTAGTGCAAAAGAGAAAGCTATTGCAGATAAAGAGGCTCTTAAGAAAGCCACAAGGTAAATTTACTCATTTTATCCATTGTGCTGTAATAGACCTTAGTACAATGGAGTTTTGTGCCATGTGATGTTATATTTTCACCAGGAAATTGAATCAATGCAATAAGTGAAAGTGATCTGGCCCATTTCCTCTTTTACAACGGGTTATAAAACTTTAAATGAAGAAAACAGCCACCAAATTGTAAGCAGTAAAATGTAATGACCATTATAAAATTCATTCTCATTCAATGTACTTTTCTTCTATCTCAGAATTCAGAAACAAAGAGCCACCAGAAGTGAAGATGCCGTGGAACAGCTGAATGCTCAAGTACTGGAGAGAGAGACACAGATTGCTGATGGCCTGAGCATGATGGAGCAGTGGAAGGCAAAGGCTATGAAACTGGAACGTGAAAAGACTCATATAATCCATGAAAATGAATCACTTGCACAGTAAGAACTGAGTGCTATTGAACAACATATTAATGATGTACAGGGTATTGTCACTAATTTTATTGGTATAAGTTCATAGTGAGTTTCATCAGGAATGATGAGTAAACTGGGACATGTTGATGTCATTGTGAGGCCCATGTGTGATTATTTTCATAATATCTTAACAACATCAAGTTTATTTTTCTGGGGCAAAAAATCAACTTTGAATAGCTCATTACAAAAAATGTCCTTCTGACCAATCAGCAACAATCTAGCACACCTGTATGCGTGAACTCAGTCGATCTAGCTAGCACAGTAGCTATACTGTGATGCACTATCACGTCTTGATGCCCTTTGTGTCATCGCAAATGTAAACAAAACAGTATTTGTACACTATTGCAGGTCATGTTATGCATCATAGATAATTAGCATATTAAATATTCAAATTTTCAATTCCTAGACGTATAGAAGACCTCCAGAGCTCTTTGCAGGAGTCAGAATCAATTGTACGAGCAACCCAGGATACCCTTAATGCACAGGTTACCAATAAGTCAGCCGAAGTTACAAGTGTTAAGCTTGAAAATGAGAGACTTAAGGTGAGATACTAATCATTGGAACTAATAATGCCAGTGGAATAGGCTGGTTTCGGTCAGGGCAAGGGAGTGCAAAAATTAAATGAGAATGTTGTCCTAAACCCAATTCCAATGAAAAATTAATGGTCATATTTAGTATTTTAACTCACTTAGTGGAACTAATTTTCCACCATGGGTGGGGAGATGGGCGAGTCACAGCCTAGGCCCATGAATGTAGAATAAAATGAGTTCCAATCATCCTTAATACTGGAATATATATGGAATACTCCTGAATTGTTAAATTAATTTAAGTTAATAATGATATTTGTGCGCCTTCATCTCTTTACAGGTAACTCTGGCAACAGTTGAGGACAAACTCAATGTTGCTAACTCTGAGATTGACCAGCTTAAGTCCAGTATACACCAATATGAAACATTGATGTCTGAACAAAAAAGCCAGGTAAGTCTGTTATGTCGAAATCTGACTCTCCTTAATAAAAACTCATTCATCAGACATTATTCAAGTCTATATTATATTTATGATTGTTATTATTATTTTTATTAATATTATTTAATTATTGTCTGCTTTAGATGACGAAGTCTCAGAGAGAAGCTGCAGATGTTAAATTCCGTCTGGAAAGGGAAGAGAGAGAGAAGTCACGCATTCTAGATGAAAGTAGTACCCATATGGAAAGGGTGTGTTATGCTCTCTAAAGTTTATAAGATATTCAGAGTTAAAATGTAGTTTACATATAATATCAATGGAGTCGCATTTGTTTATATAAATATTGTACCATCAATATCACACCAAGGATACATTCCTAACTGTAACTTCACTTTTTGAATGACAAACACAATGCTTTAATTGCATTTTTGAGCTTTTCTTAGACTTTGCTACAGATGAAACTAAAATAAAACATATAACTGCTTTTTTTTTATCGGATAAGTTATTATAAACTTTTAAGTAACTTTTACAGATGAAAAGTTAGTTTTCAATGATGTACTGATGTGTAGTATAAACATTCATATAGCACCTGGACCAGGGCAAGATTTTTCCTAAAGTGTACATGGGGCCATAATCCTATTCTTTTCTACTTTCCTCTATTTCAAAGCAAAGTTAAGTAACTTTTAATTTAAATTAAGTATGAATTATATAGCACACATAATCAAAAGTGTTGGAGATTAAGACAGGTAGCAACTGGTGCCTGAAGAAAAATGTAATTGAGATTTACATTATGTCTGCAGGTTCGTTCTCGACTTGAGCAGCAACTGGATGACCTTCAACCTTTACCTGAAATGTTACGATCCTCAGAACAGCGTCTCTTAGCAGCAACAAACCGACTTGCGGAACAAGAGAAACGATCATCCGAACAGGCCAGTGCCATCACTGACATGACTGTGAAGGTAGGTTTCACAAGCATTGTAGTCTTTTCTACTAGGAATTGAAAAGTCTTACAAATAATGTAGGCCTACATAATATAAATAAATGAATACCTAGGCCAATGTACTGTATAAATAACTGGACAATATGCTATGTAAGTACTTACCACTGCTAAATAAGCCACACTGCTTATTTAGCAGTGGTGGCTCTATAAATTTGCCGACAGGGGTCCAAACCGAGGGGGCCGACTGAAAGCTTCGGTCAGGGTCCCAGAATAAAAGTCCCTGGTAGGGTTGTTGGGGAGAGTTTTTGTGGCTCAGTATGGACGAAATTGTGTTTTTAGAACAAAATATTAGGGATTGGCAATCTAAATTACATTATTTGGATAAGCAAATTATTAATTTTGGTCTAACGATCCTGTTGTGGTGACGGACGACAGGGGGACCAAGCCTGCCCGACGGGAGGGCAACATAAATATGTACATACGTGGACCAAATACATTTACAGTTAAATTGACTGAAATTTTTTGATTGATTGACAGATGGATCAGCAGAGGGAGCAGATAGAGACGATGCGAGAGAAGTGGCACATGGCTCAAGATGAGTGTCGTACCCTAAAATCTCAGCTTGAACCGCTTGAAAGGTACACTTTCAAACAAAAGATCTGAAACGCACACACTTCCTTATAGCACCAGCCTAACCTAATGTACTATGTAACAGTCTCTCTTTGTAGTGGAGATATGCATAATGGGGGGTTTTTTTTCAGAATTTTAGATAGTACATCAGTCTGTGTTTAATGTGGTATTAAATCCAATTACTGTACATAAAAATAAAATTGTAGGAACATACAAATAAATACAACTACAGCCTTTATTATATGCATTATTACTACTGTGATGTTGCAATTCTAACTGCATTTTAGAACCTACTCTGCCAGCCTCCTAGCAGTAGCGGTGCTTCCTACGCGTGTGACTGCTATATTGTCTGCCTCCCACCTCCTTCAAGACATCTAGTTCATTTTCTATATTCTTGAAAATAATTTTAAAAATCAATTATTGTTTTATATGTAACAATACAATTGATGCATTTTACAGAAAGGTTCGTGAATTTGAAGTGGAGAATCGTGATATGCATGGTGTTTTGGCCAAGAGAGAGGAAACCATCCATCAAAACCAGGTTTGTTCACTCATTTGCACATTCACCTGTTAAATTGGGCAGGGAGAGGGGGGGTGGGGCACAACATTTTCAGAATAGATAAGTGAGTAGCATTTATTTCAATACATAATATTGATATGCATTGAAATTTTAAAATTTAATGGTAAAACAACGGGGGAGGGGGGGAGCCCCTCTACTGGATCCGCACCTGTGTTCAATGCTATTTTACAGAGTCCTGCTACAATCACTGATTAACATTACTATCATTTCAGTACACAGTGAGATTTGTTTTCTGTTTCTATATCACAGTTTAACAGTTCTCTAATTGCTATGGATCAGCAGAGGGAATCCCCAGTCATTTAATGGATTTGCCACGTAGGATAGTGAATAAGTTCACTGATTGGCATATCCTTGGTGCTCGTGCCTAAAGAAATTTAATATTGATAAAGTTCATTATATATTTACCTTGTTTTCCAATGTTTCTTACATTTTCCATCCTATTTTATGTTTTTTAATCAGTAACCTAAATTATTTGTTTCATGTCTTAGGGTAGACTTGCCAAAAGTCTCTAATTTATTGATTTTTCCTAGTATTTAACTAATTTTGGAGCACGCCAGCAGCATCGGTTTATGTCGAGAAACTTGTTTAAAATTGTTGAATTTGGATGCAAATTAGAATCCCAGAAAAAGTATAGTATGGAACGTCATGCAAATAAGTAATATGGAATGCCACTGGTGCAAAAAAAGATTTGTTTTTAATAGTTTTCACTGATTACGACAAAATTAGGGACTGGAAACCAGTCTAGTCTTAGGAATGCATGGCTTTATCCGATCCTAGATTTTATTATTTCTAATTGATGATACAAAATAAACTTTTTTATAAACTTTATTGTTGTGCTTTCAGCTTGAACTTGAGGATAAAAACAGAGAGCTGATGAGCCTAACAAGACAACTAGAACAAGCTATCAGCGACAATCGCCGTGTGGAGGAAGACTCGCGTGAGAAGTCAATTGCACGAGAACGTAATTGGCACGCCCGAATCGTAGAACTAGAGTCTCAGTTGAGTAGAAGTAAAACAGAAGCAGTTCAACTTCGCCGGGCCAAGGAGGAGGTGAGTTTTGTGCATTACAGAATTTGTGAATTGCAAATTTTTTTTTTTTAAATGGTTTGACTTATAGCCTCCTCCCCATCCTTTTAATGGACCATTCCGCTTAAGCCTCACTCCTTGGATATTGTTGCTAATGTCTCACAAAACAATAGTGTAAACGTACGTAACCATGCAGGTTTGTGGGACAAGGCATGTTCGTAGGGCACGCATATTCCAGGGGCGGATCCAGAGATGTCCAAAAGTGGGGCCAATCGAGGTAACACTTTGTTTTCTAGACGCCTAGAAATAACCACTGAGGCTAATTTTTTTTATTTTCCAAAAGAGGATGGGAGGGTAGCGGGCGCGCCCCTGTATTCCCAGCCGTGTTTTGATTAGTCAGTTGTTAAGTTTGATTGACACTCAAGAAAGATCCATTATCTGCGAGTTGTAAAATTGTTGTTTTTTTTTTGTTTTTTTTTTTAGGGTGAGCGCAAGTTCAATTCCAGACTACATGACCTGAAGGATCGTCTTGAACAATCTCACAGTACCAACCGTAGCATGCAGAACTACGTCCAGTTCCTCAAGAGCTCTTATTCCAACGTTTTCGGTGATACCTCTCTGACTTCCTCCCCATATCGTGCACGATCACCATTACACACCTGATATCAAACAACGCCCTCGCCAAATCTCCTTATTGAATGAGCATTAAATAAGATTTAAGGATTAGTTTTAACAATTACTGTTATTCAATCTCGAATTGAATTAACAAAATAATGATACCTTATTGTTGGTATACACTCTATGCACTGTTTTATATATAAATTGATATATTTTTTGTTTTAAATGCTGTAATAAAACAATGGGGTAATCAACTTTTTAATTGTTTATCAGTATTTTTATAATTTTAATAGTTTTAAAGAATAATAATGCTTTGTGAAGATAAATTGATAATGTGTATTAATAAGTATTCTTATCAAAAGAATAACTGAATTCCTCATGTTTATTAACTTTGTTGTTATTTCAACATTGGCTGATTGAGTACAATAAAGGTTCACCATGTACAATCAATGTGTTTCATTTAATTTTATTTACGATGATTATTAATCACTTTGACATTACTGATGTGACATGGAATAAGCAGATTTATTATTACTAAATACTGTACAATTAACAATTACTTCTTTGGTCACAAAATCATCTGTAAATTGTATGTCGCCCTCTACGATTTTAGAAATTATGTCCTGTATATTTCATATTAATCTACATTACTGTAATACAGTAACATACAATTACCAGGGAGAACATACAAAACGCACAGAAGAAAATGTGACAATGAATGGAACAATTTTACGTTGTATTTAAATTACCAGCCAATTTAAAGATATGCAATGCCGGCTTACAGCCTCCACTGAACAGTACTTAGGCCTATGAGACAAAAATCGTTTTATTTTTCAATTTTGGCTAATTAATAATTACGTAATAATTAATGTACGTGTTCATTAGTGGTTTACATTGTGTATACTATAGAGGAATAATAACTTGGTTCCCTTCTTTGAAAAGAACATAGAACAGTATAGACCGATTAGACTAGGCTATAAAATCATAAAAATTACCATCCACGACTCATTAGCTTTTTAATATGCGTGTTCTAATTTATTTGTTTTAAACAGTTTCCTACTTTCGCTTTTGTTCGTAACGGTGGGACACTTGTTACTTGTATTGTTAACTGCCTTCTGTCTTGGGAACCTCATTGACTAATCACATAAATTTTGCTCAAGAGCAAGAGACAACCCGGCCAGCATATTCTGTGCTCTACAATAGTTCATAGGCCTATGCTGTATATATTTAATAAACTTATTATTTTTAATGACCTTAACGACCCTGAACCTTTCTATAGTACCAAGACCATAGTTGCTCGCACGCAATTTTTTAATCAGACAATTTTGATAAACCTATAGTCCTACCAATCTGTCGTATGATTTATTAGTCTTCATGAATATATCAAATATATCAAAGGAAAATTGACTAGCTATACTCCCTTTTTAAGTGATTTATTGCTAGCACCTCGCACTACCAGACCCATGGCGCGATGAATTGCTATCTTTGGGAATTAATATTGCAAACACGAGCACGTAGGCCAAAATGTATTCCTGCTAGTACAACAACTCGACGATAATATACTGTAACATTAATTGAAAGCAGACTTCCAAACATGACTTATGAAAAACGCCCTCAATACTAAATAATTTCACTCTTTTTAACTTCTGGTTTTTTATACGTCTATTTCTATGATGCCGACACTATTAATTTCATATTCCCCTTGCAAAATTATTGCACTGTTATCCGTAAGTGTTGTCCCTGTTGCGTGTTATTCTTGTGTCAATAAAGTATCACTACCCTTCCGTCACTAATGAACTAGCTACAGAAATCCGTAAATGAACTCACGATAATTGGAAAAGGAAGTGGCCACAAATTAACTTCAAATCTTAACCTGTAAAACCATATTTACAAAAAACACGTGACGATGATCATAATTGAAATAAAAGGTTGATGGGATTGCAATGAAAGAGCTAGGTATGTAGGCCTATGGGTATTTAGTTTATTGAGGAGAAAACACCTTTAAATAGGCCTTCATCTTTATTGAGGGTCATTTCTTCAAATACTGTGTAGGTATTTTATAAGTACAGTAATAATAAACAAAAAGACCCGGCCTTTCATTTGTCAAATCGCCTCGAATATGGTACACTGAATTCATGATAGAAGAGATAACACAATAAGAGGAATGGCAGGAAGGATTGGTAAATTACTGTATGTTTATTGATGTGAGATCTTTACACCTACCGAACATTATATACCTAAAAAAAAATCAAAAATTGTTGAGCCACATTATATAGGGCCTGTATTATATATTAGACCTAAGATCGTTCTGGACTGCTAATGCCTACTGTTTGCATTGAACTAAACAACATGTAGGCCTATAAATAAATTAAAATTTAGAAAGAGAAAATATTTTCTCACCAATTAACAGACGAACAATTGATCGCCAATTAATGCGCACATATACTCACTAATTCTTTATTGTCCATTCATATAAAACATAAATGTAATTTGAACTTATATATTACCGTTTTTATACGTTTTATTATCCATTAACTGGGTTGGTAATCAAATTAAAGCTTTTCGTAGTGAAAAGTCTGTAAATCAGTGAAAACTGAATTGTTTCGAAGCTGTATTGCTTTCAAAGTTGATAACTTATTCTGTTTTCCTTTACCCTGGGAAACATAATCAATTTACCTCCATGATCAATCTAAGCATTGTTTCATGTGGGTTGTCTAATACACAGGTGCATGAGTGTGAAAGAATTAGGTGTTCCAATCGGATTTTAATTCACAACAAAGATTCAATGTTTTAGTCGGTTACTTGAAGGCGTCTGCATAGACAGCAGAATGTTCCGGGTTCGAATCCTGATTGGGGACCTATTTTTTTGACACTCGCAGATTCCTCTTCTTTAACGTTTAAAAATGTATTTATATATATTTACAGCATTACGGGAAATCGATTTAGAGTTTATCTCTTTCAATATATAATAAAGCCAAACGAGGTAATCCTAAAATATTATGTACATTTTAAAAGTCAAGGAAGAGCAAACGGGATTGAAAACCGGGAACTTCTGCTGTCTAGCAGCTAATCCCTCACACTCTTGCGCAGCGTGGTTGGAC